ATGCCCAGGAGAAGGATCATTCTTCTAGAATCCAATCTTTCCTAAAGAATCATGACCAAAAAACCAAGACTTGGGTGGATTCTGAAGGATAGATCCTTGCTTTTTAACTGCCTTTGTTGATATCCAAGTGGATCTAGTTCCAAACAGGCAGTGGGCACCCAAGGTACCCAAAGAAGCCCACATTTCTCTACAAGTATTCAGTTCGTCAGAGGGAAGGGTGATTTCAGGCTACCTCCTCTAGATAGATACCAAGCCCCTATTCCACAACCAGCACTACTTTTGGTATTGATAAGGCTTCAAAGGGCAAGAAGATGCAGTCCTGACTTTCAGGAAGCCATTCTCTGGATGGTGACATGTATGAAGCAGTAAGAGAAATGTGTAAGAAGGAGTATATAAAATGGTGTGAGTGGTAAAAGAGGATCTGTCACTGGGAGGATAGTGTCGCAGAACAGCAGAGCCAACAAAGACTTTAAATACTCTTTAGTCCAGTAGTTCTTAATTAAGCATCAATGTCACCTATTGCCTATTTTGTTGCATTTGGCATTAAATGAATCAAAACGCCTTGGATGAAACACAAGTATAGACTTGGTTAAGGGTCACTGATCGAAACTGTCCTCCCCATTTTAAAAGTCCCACCAGCAAAACTAGACTCCATATCAGATCTTTTGATCTGGCTCCTTATACCACAGGTCTGAGTACTTTTTCCAATGAGACTAGTTACAATAACAACAGTAAAAAATAGTATTAGCTTTTCTTTTTCTTTTACACCCTTATAAACCTTTCTTTGAGACTGAATAAAGTAGAGTGGGAGATTTTCCTCAGTCTGTTCAGTTCAGTTCAGTAGCTCAGTCATGTCCAACCCTTTGCAACCCCATGAACCGCAGCACACCAGGCCTCCCTGTCCATCACCACGTCCCAGAGTTTATCCAAACTCATGTTCATTGAGTCAGTGATACCATCCAACCATCTCATCCTCTGTCGTCCCCTTCTCCTGCCTTCAATCTTTCCCAGCATCAGGGTCTTCAGTCTGTTGCTCTCATTCTAAAAAAAAGTGCCTACAGTTCAACTCACATACAACTTCAAGAATGGTTAAATGAATGAACCTGTGTGTGAATGTGTGCATGTACACACATATACACGTATGCATGTATATGTACACATATACAATTTATTAGGTGATTTTGAAGAATTAAAACCAGAAATTTGAAGAAAAAACTCAGAAAACAAATAAGAATTTCCCAAACAATGCTTGGTTTACTAAACGTGATACCTGAGAGAACTTTCTTCTACCACCTGACCCTTCTAAGATATATTTTATAATAAGTTGCTGCCAGAAGATAAAATGTTTTAAAACAACCTCTTCATACATGAAAGCACCTGTTAAAGGTGCCAAAGTTGATGAGAGTAACTGTTAAAGAAGAAAATTAAGTTCTAAGTGATTAACTTAGAAGATTGATTTATAAATTTTAATTATTCACTTGCTGGATATTAACCGTATTTCTCCTAAGAGAAATCACATTCTGATCAACACTATCACATCCCAAATAAAAGTCTTCATGAGAAAAATTGATTTATTACAGTTCTTTTAACATAGGGATAGAACTTTATTCTAAGATGGCTTAAAAATAGTCTAAGATTACTTCAAAATTCTTCCCAATAAAGTACAACTGAATTTCTTCTGTACCCTTACTAACATGTATGTTTCTTTTTAAATATATAATTTTCAAGAGATTTCATTATTTCTTATAGCTTTGCCTTTATACAAAGTGCATGTCCTTAACTACACTCCTTATTTACCACAGATTTAAAAATCTGAACCCTAACAGGACCAGTTCCTCTCAGACTATCATCCTCTCTCTCCAATCTTCCAAAACTTACTTTCTAGTAGTCCTTCCTACTAAACAGACAGTCAATACCAAAATCAGATTGATTATATTGATTATATTCTTTGCAGCCAAAGATGGAGAAGCTCTATACAGTCAGCAAAAAAAGACTGGGAGTTAACTGTGGCTCAGAGCATGAACTCCTTATTGCCAAATTCAGATGTAAATTGAAGAAAATAGGGAAGACCACTAGACCATTCAGGTATGACCTAAATCAAATCCCCTACGTTTATACAGTGGAAATGAGAAATAGAGTCAAGGGATTACATCTGATAAGAGTTCCTGAAGAACTATGGATGGACGTTGATGACATTGTACAAGAGGCAGTGATCAAGACCATCCCCAAGAAAAAGAAATGAGAAAAGGCAAAATAGTTGTCTGAGGAGGCCATATAAATAGCTGAGAAAAGAAGAGAAGCTAAAGGCAAAAGAGAAAAGGAAAGATATACCCATCTGAATGCAGAGTTCCAAAGAACAACAAGGAGAGATAAGAAAGCCTTTCTCAGGGATCAGTGCAAAGAAATAGAGGAAAACAATAGAATGGGAAAGACTGGAGATCTCTTCAAGGAAATTAGAGATTCCAAGGGAACATTTCATGCAAAGATGGGCACAATAAAGGACAGAAGTGGCAAGAATACACAGAAGAACTATACAAAAAAGATCTTCATGACCCAGATAACCAAGATGGTGTGATCACTCACCTAGAGCCAGACATCCTGGAATGCAAAGTCAAGTGGGCCTTAAGAAGCATCACTATGAACAAAGCTAGTGGAGGTGATGGAATTTCAGTTGCGCTCTTTCAAATCCTAAAAGACGATGCTATGAAAGTGTTGCACTCAATATGCCAGCAAATTTAGAAAACTCAGCAGTGGCCACAGGACTGGAAAAGGTCAGTTTTCATTCCAATCTCAAAGAAAGGCAATGCCGAAGAATGCTCAAACTATTGCACAATTGTACTCATCTCACATGCTAGCAAAGTAATGCTCCAAATTCTCCAAGCCAGGCTTCAACAATATGTGAACCATGAACTTCCAGATGTCAAGCTCGATTTAGAAAAGGCAGAGGAATCAGAGATCAAATTGCCAACATAGGTTGGATCACCAAAAAAGCAAGAGAGTTTCAGAAAAACATCTGCTTCTGCATGACCACGCCAAAGCCTTTGACGGTATGGATCACAAAAAACTGGAAAATTCTTCAAGAGATGGGAATATCAGACCACCTGACCTGCCTCCTGAGAAATCTGCATGCAGGTCAAGAGGTAACAGTTAGAACTGTACATGAAACAGAAGACTGGTTTCAAGTTGGGAAAGGAGTATGTCAAGGCTGTATATTGTCACCCTGTTTATTTAACTTATATGCAGAGTACATCATGTGGAATGCTGGGCTGGATGAAGCACAAGCTGGAATCAAGATTGCTGGGGGAGAAATATCCGTAACCTCAGATATGCAGATGATACCACCCTTATGGCAGAAAGCAAAGAGGAACTAAAGAGCCTCTTGATGAAAGTGAAAGAGAAGAGTGAACAAGTTGGCTTAAAGCTCAACATTCATAAAACTAAGATCATGGCATCTGGTCCCATCACTTCATGGCAAACAGATAGAGAAACAATGTAAACAGTGAGACTTTATTTACTTGGGCTCCAAAATCACTGCGGATTGTGACTGCAGCCACAAAATTAAAAGACACTTGCTCCTTGGAAGGAAAGCTATGACCAACCTAGATAACATATTAAAAAGCAGAGACATTACTTTGCCAACAAAGTTTCATGTAGTCAAGGCTATGAGTTTTCCAGTAGTCATGTGTGACTGTGAGAGTTGGACTATAAAGAAAGCTGAGCACCGAAGAATTGATGCTTTTGAATTGTGGTGTTGGAGAAGACTCTTGAGAGTCCCTTGGACTGCAAGGAGATCAAACCAGTCCATCCTAAAGAAATCAGTCCTGAGTGTTCATTGGAAGGACTGATGTTGTAACTGAAACTCCAATACTTTGGCCACCTGATGCGAAGAACTGACTCATTAGAAAAGACCCTGATGCTGGGAGAGATTGAAGGTGGGAGGAGAAGGGGATGACAGAGGATGAGATGGTTGGATGGCATCACTGACACAATGGACATGAATTTGAATAAGCTCTGGGAGTTGGTAATGGACAGGGAAGCCTGGCGTGCTGCAGTCCATGGAGTTGCAAAGAGTCAGACATGACTGAGTGACTGAACTGAACTGAACTGAACTGAGTCCTCCCTGCCTTATATTTCTTTCCTTCCTACCTTTCTTCTTCCCTCCCTCCTCGTACATTGATTCAGGTGGGGTGCTAGTGAGAGCTTATATTATAACTGAAAATAAAGCTATATGTATGAAAACATCATTCAAAACATTTAGAAAACAATAATCAAGAACAAGTGCATACAAAATTTAAAATGAAGAGCAAAAATAAAATGAGTTTGGTAAAATGGGTAAGATCAAAAAAGAGAATTTTAGATTAGGTATTTCAAAGCTGATAGTTTAGAAGTAGAGAAAAGAAAGAATAGCATTTTCACTTTGGAGTCCATCAAAGACCAGTAGTGGGTCTTATGGAACTTTCTCTTGAGACTGTATATAAGCTCCCTAAACTTTCATGGGAAGGCCTCTTTCTCCAAGATGTGACACTGAAGCAGACAGGAAGATCTTACAACACAGAGCAGGGGCCAGCAAAATACAGCCCATGAGTCTAATTTGGCCTGCTGCATGTTTTTGTAAATAAAGTTTTATTGGAACACAGCATTACCCATTCATTTACAAACTGTTCATTACTACTTATGCACTATAGTAGAAGAGTTGAATAGTTGCAACAGAAGTCATATGACTTTCAAAGCATACAATATTTAATATCCAGCCCTTTACAGACAAATTGGTTAACCCCTGGGCTAGATCACTCAACATCTTTTCATGTTTCTTGGCTCTTGTTACCCTCAATGAAGGGAGACTCTGACTATAGGGTACCCAATGGAGTAAAATTTAATATAGCATGAAGGGACCACTGATGCTTACCAGACATCTATTATGCACCCCAGAGGATAATATTATCTCTCCAAAAATGTCATTTTTCTCTTTTCATACCATGCTCAAACCCCTAGATACTCACCTATATCTCTTGTAGTCTTCCTCATCCTTTTCCAGGCTGACGAGCTCATTGGGACATGCCACATTCCCCAGGAGGCTGAGGTACTCCAGAGCTGGTGTAACTTCTGCCAGGTGATCAAGCAGATACTCCAAGTCAGTGATGTGAAAAAGGTTAAGGATCTTGATCCAGAAAGACAGAAGACTTAGCAAGGTACACAGACATCACTGACAGGCACAGACCATAACTGACAGGCACAGCCTAGCCGCTGATGAACCCCGTCTGCTCCCAGGACATGACATGGGTAGGGGTTGAAATCAACTTGCTGTGAGTGTCTGACATGGTTAGTTTTTCACTCCCACTGGTGACATGGCTCAACTTTTAATGAAAGCAAGAAATTACTTCCAAAGGTCTCATCAGAAATATATTGTTTCTCCTTTGGGGGTAGTCCATCATTAAAACATGGGAATAGCATGGATGCAAACTGGGATTGGCCTCCTCTATGATCTGAGAGCCTGTTGTGGAGCTAAGCATTTCTCAGTGGCCTCACTGGTGGCAATAAGACATTACATTGGGTGAAAAGGAGTACAAAGCTAAGAAGAAAAGACAAAGAGAACAGGTGTAGGCCATGAATAGAGGCCATGACTACCAGGAGCCTACCAATGAAAAGAGTTAGCTGATATTAAATCATCAGACAGAATGGGGCCCTTACCAGGAAATGATGGTAGAGTATACAGGGGCTAAATACATGATGGTAGATGCCACTTGTAAGAATCAGAGAGTCGGGTCGGGGTACCATTTCCAGGAAAAGAAGGTCAAATGAAATAAAAGGGCTGCCCTTACTCTGTGAGGATGCTACCTAATTGTGGGGTGTTATCCCAATTTTCTCATACTTCAGTTTGTCAGTTGAACTCCAAATCCAACCAACATCTGAATCCAGTCCCTAACATATCTGCCAGAGGATCACCACAAGGAAGTTTAAACTGTCTCTAACAACCATGAGAGAGAGAGTTTTTATTCCCCCAGAGGTTGAATTCCCACACAGGGACTCAATTTAGCTAGTTGGGGAGGTCACAAAGAATAAGTAATTCCTCTCTTCCATGTGATGGCCTTTCAGATGGTTGAGGCGCACATATCTTCGTTCAACTTTTCATTCTCTAAACTAAGTGCCTTCAAGAACTATTCCTACCTAAGCCATGTAAAGATCATATGGAAGAACAAGCACTAGATTGGCAGGGAGCAAGACCAACACAATGAAAGGGAAAGTTCAGAAGCAAGAGAGGGGAAAACTAGTTAAAGAGGGTCTGAGTGTCCTCCTAGACTGTGGGTTTCTACTGGCCAACATCATCCTCATTTCCTAAACAAAGACAGGACACTGTACAATCAAGTTATTGATCTTTCAAATCTTCAACAAATGATATCCAGGAACGACCACAAAGGATCACTGGAATGAGGATGATAGATTCGAAGCATATGGAGAAGATGAGTGAGAAGGTCCCACCAAGGAAGTAAGCTTGAAATACAGAAGGCAAGTGTCCAGGAGTCAAAACCTTAACGTATTTCATCACTCAAGACAAAACATACTTAATACTTCTTAAAGTTCAATCACCACACTCTTTAAGAAAATTATCTAAATAAAACTAATTAAAATGACAATGAACAATTTCAGGAAAAACTTGACTTTTCCAGCAAGCTTTATCTTTGGATGTCATTACATTAAACAAAGAAAAGGAAAAACAAGGAATCTTGCCAGTACTCTACCCTACGAGTGCTGTCCTTCGACCCAGACAAAAGCATCTCAGAGACCCCTGTGCTTTGGAGTGCCTTCCTCAAAAATTTCTCAGTCTTAGTCCAGAACTCAGGATGGGCCAGGGCCAGCAGCATCACTCAGGGAGGATACTCCATGCCTTGACTTAAGACCTGCATACACCTCAGCCCAAGTCCTGGTTTCTCCCCTTCAGGGTTCTCTCCAGCCTTCTTGCCCACATATGGTACCCACTGAATGTGCCAAAGAACAACAGGACTCATACCCATTAGGCTTTCCAGAAGCCTCAAGCCAGGTCCTCGTTCAAGGGGGCAGCCAGACAAGCTGATCATTCTTACTGGCCAGCACTGTATTTCTGTAAAACTCCAAGAGAGTGGGCCACCAAAATGGCACTGATGTGTTGCTCTGAAGCGATTCAAAGTATTTCTGTGGACAATGGCCCTGGAGAATCCATGGGAAGCCCTTTCTACTATGGACAGTAAAGTCCATCCAGATCAAACCTATTTCTCTCTTAGAGACAAATTACTTAAACTCATCTTTTTATCATCTACTGCACAAAGGTGAGAATGTGAAGAAATGGAACTCAACACTGGCAAGATCTCCAAGTTAGAGAAACACTAGACAACAGAGTTGGCTTGACATCCCAGTCATTCCTCAACATTTGGTAATTAGCGATGGGAAGGCTTGCATTCTACCATCCAGGGAAATGGTGGTGGTGGTGATATAGTAGCTAAGTCATGAGCGACTCTTGCGACTCTATGAACAGTAGCCTGTCAGGGTCCTCTGTCCATGGGATTCTCCAGGCAAGAATACTGGAGTGGGTTGCCATTCCTTCTCCAGGGGATCTTCCCAACCCACCTGAGTCTCCGGTGCTGCAGGCAGATTCTTTACCAACTGAGCTACCAGGGACGTAGGCCCAGTCTAAGACAAGTAAATCTTCATCATACATGAACGTATCACAGAGCTAATAAGCTTGTGCAAGAAGGCTGTGTGCTTACATAGGTCTCTCCCAGGACCCTGGCAAAGGCCCTGGTAACAGTCACACGGTCACTTATTTTTACAAAACTTGCAAAAGTAGGTTATTTGAACCACAGTCAGTTAAGAGTACTTCCCTGCTCTGATAGGACTTCTGTCACATTTCTGCTTGAGTTGGGTGATGCTAGAGTGGCTGTGGGAACTCTTGGAACCTAAGATAAACTGGCAATGGAGTGACACTGAATTAGGATTCAGTTGGGTTTATTTCTGTGGTTTGCAATTGTTTCTGTGTCAGTAGGCATGTGGCATGATATTCCTGCTACCCACCATGCTGACACACACACAGAGACCAATATAAAAATGATAATAAAATGGTTAATGAGCTTTATCAATTTGCAGAATATTTACGGTTAACTTGTTGAGTGTGTATGCACCACACAAACACAACTAACTTGAAACATCTTGAAATCTTTTAACTCATAGATGAAAGATATGTGTTTTCCCAAAGTTGATTAATTCTAACATTTTTACCAATAATTTAGTGAAATTACCAATAATGAAGAGTGAAGATGAAAGGAACATCCCTAAATATTAAAAATAAAAGTCACTTTTCAATTAGACACAATTATCTCTTCTGTATGTGTGTGTATGCTTGGTCACTCAGTTGTGTCCAAATTTTTGCAACCCTATGGACTTTAGTCTGCCAGGCTTCTCTGTCCATGGGGATTCTCCAGGCAAGAATACTGGAGTGGGTTTTCATGTCCTCCTCTAGAGGATCTTCCCAACCCAGGGATCGAACCCAGGTCTCCCACATTGCAGGTGGATTCTTAACCATCTGAGCCACCTGGAAAACTTAATTAAATAATGGAGTTATAAGGGAATTTGCAGAAAAAAAATTGAAAAAGTTCTCATACATAGTATAAAAGAGATTGTTTTCTAAATATTTCAATGTATGGTATCTGTCAACTTAAAAAAGTTTAATATGCTTTGACACATTTTTTATTCCAAATACACATTCATCTCCATACCTAATTTTGTGTTTGTAATTATACAGTCTTTGCCTCTAAGAGAGCCTCTTCAAATTATGTAAGCGTCACACTACACAAAATATGGATCTGCCTCTTAGCAGGAGGCTGTGGAAATGGAAACTCATTCAAATGTCTTGATCATGGGAATTTCTTGGGCAAAATGTATGGAGGCTTCAAGAAGCTTCAGTCATTCTGTGCCAGTGAACCCAACAGGATTCACTGGAGTCTCAGAGTCTGCCTCCTTTAGGATATTTTGTGTAGCAGAAGCAAGTTCTTCTTCCTAAGCCTTCCAACTACCTGCTAAGTAAACATTTGGGCTGGGCAAGGTGGTACCCCCAAATCCACACCGGTGAGGAATCACTAGCACCTGCGCCATGGATGCTCTGGACAAGAACAACATCACTATGTTGACACCACCAGTGGAGACTGAAATGTGAGAAGTTTCCCTTGGTTTCTTCATCTCCTGGGTCAATAAGGATGAGCACAGCCTTGTCTTGCCAGACTGTGCTCTTGGAGATGGAACTTGTCACATTCCTTTCTGTCAAGTTGCAGAGAAAATTAACTGGAGACAATCAGCTGAGGGAACTTGGTGTTTCCAGCTAACCAATACTACCTTAGTGAAGACACTTAGTGATTTTTTTTTCTCTCCGTTGTAAAATGTGAAGTTATCTGGCACAGTTTCAACTCTCTCCAGCTGGATTCTCAACACACACCTGGTTTCCTTCATCAAGTCTTCTCCAGAGTACTTGCCATTTAGATTTTTTTCAGTGCTGTCTACAGAAAGTTGCCAATGCGGAGCCCAGCTGTCCTGGCTAGGTTTGCCAAGGGAGATTTTCTGCAGAGGGCCCAAGATCAAAGCCACATCTTGCCTTGAAAGTTTGGAGCCCAAGGGAGGAGGGGAATCTCATGGTGTCATGCTGGGTTGCACAGGTCTGAAGGTGCTTCCAGGTGAGAATGGGCATGTCTCTCCCTCTGTGCTCAACTCCTGGTCAAAGGGCAGCACCTATGACTCCTGGGGGTATTTCAATTAGAGCTTATCCTGATAGAAGATTTTCAAATGCTGAACAGCCTACATGACATATTTGATTCACACTCATACAGGTATCTGAAAGATTATCACATCCAGATAACAATTAAGGAAACTTGCAGTCAAAGATCACACAGTGACTAAAAGACAGAGTCTATATTCAGACCTAGGTCCTGCAAAATGACAACTCTAGGGGCCACAAAGAGAGGAATTAAAAAAAAAAAAAAAAGAGAGAGAAGTCTTCTACGCTTTTGTAGAATATCATCAGGTGCTGTCATCCAGTTGTACTCTGTACCTCAGTTACTTTCGATCTGGGATCATTCATTTAAGGCATCAAAGCCTTGGCTAACAGTAAAATGTGCAAGGAAC